TAGACATATTTCTGTTAAGGAAAGAAGAAGATTATTTCTACAAAAATCCCAAATTCAAAAGTTAAATTTTATCGAGAGAAAAGAAGCCGCGAAAAAATCCGCAATAATTATACATCAACCTAATAGAATGCCTCCTAAACTACAAAGAACTGAAATGGTAACTGACTAGTCTATATAACTCTGTTAAAATACTGAGTCACTACAATTCGATTGAAACCTAGAAATTTCTTAGTGAGTTAGTGGGTTCTTATGTTCAAAAAGAACGGTTTGCAGCGATTTGCAGGCATCGGCGCTCAAGTGAACATTGGACGGGGGAACACACCACCGCCCTACGAACTGACGCAATTTCTTCGAAATTCCTGCTGATAAGGTCTGATTTATCACTGTGAGCAGTAGCATGAACCACCCCACACAAAAACAGGCCCTCTGATTTATCAATATATCAGAACACCTTCCTATTACGACTCTCCACAACCTTTCCAGCAGACATTGTGGTCACAAAGTGGTTACAAACGGAAGAAGGGTTCTGTGTGGTTTGTAGCGGACCCCTTAGAGTTATTAAAGAAGACGAATCATTCATGAATAGCGATGTTAAAATGGAAATACGAAAAATAAATGCGAATATTGATTGAAAAAAAAGCAAAATCCTAGTAGTATACGTGACGATGGACTAGAAGAAGTCTCCACAAAAACCAGTCACATGTTTCATTATCAAAGCAAAATAGAAAACAACCACGTCACATGTTCTTCTTGACGATCATAAAACAGTGACTTCGATTAGTACATGAATTTCGATGAGGCTAACCACTGGAACACAAAAAGATGAAGAGAAACGATAAATGTGTGCAATGTTCTATGGCCACATTGCACGTACTATATTGTTCAAGGTAGTATCATGGGTTATAAACACACAGTTCATGTGCTCAAATGTTCAAACACTGGTTATGACGAATCGAATTTCTCGGAACACCATTAAAATATGGCATATGTTAAGTGTAAGCCCGTATCTCACTCAACTGGTTTTGTAGTTTTTGATCATTGCTTTGAAATAACACACAGGTCCTCCTTCCATTCTTCAAAAATACGATTTTGAAGGATTTCCCTCACAATTTTTGAGGNTTTTCCTCCAACTCCGCTTTCCAAGGGATTGAAAAATGAGCAAAAGAGATTTAGTTGAAGTCAACTTTGATTCCATATTCCACTACTATTGAGAAAACGATGGCCTCTTTGTGTAGAATCATGAGAATAAGGAAAGTTTCAAACGCAGTCTATAGAAGCTAGAATTATTTTATGAATACTTGCGAAGTTTACCGACTACCACTTTTATTTTCCGCAATAACTGCCGCTGAGGAGAGATAACATGGGATTCAGCCCGATTTTGAGGTTGTAGATATGGCATGACTTTTCGGCTTCTATCTGCCCCAGTTGGGAGGTTTGCAAAAGCTCTCGGTCGCCACTGTATTTGAGAATGGAGGGGCAGTGTGGGGGAGGGGGCACTCGAGCCATTCCACGATAACAACACATTCATGCACCAAATTTCAAAGAACAAAACAACAATCTCGAATGTACTGCTCATTCGACAAATAAACAAAACAATTCCAGGTGAGGTTCGGTTGGCACCACATCAATGACTCACGTGAGATGGCGCATGAACCGATGAAAAAAGCGAGAAGTGAAACCGTTAGACAGGCAAAACGATTATTCATTAGTGAATAACACTCTTGGGAAAGTGCTCAAGCACTTTCGATAAACAAAGCGTTGACATCATCAGAGAGACAGCATGAAACGATTAATCAGGCACAAATCATATGGGAGTTGGCGGACAGTATGGCTGGCCGTCAAATAAATTGTTTGTCTTCCGAACAGTTCACGCTTGACAACAAAATTGACGTCGCTAGCGAGGGCATTTACCCGTTTTTTTTTCTATTCGGTACGACTTCATTTGAATTTCTAGCTAATATAGGGAGAGACTGTATGGTGTAGGCTCTATACTGAGATTTGTAAGCTTTTTAGAGCACTTTCAAGTGTAACAACTCGTTGAAGATTTCAAACTTGGAAGGTTTTTTAAAACAACCTCGTATTTCATTCATTTGAATGGATTGGTATTTAGAAACAACCACAAGAAATCTGTTTGCTGTGTCACGAAGACACTGATTTGGTGATTAATGACAAAGGCGGTGAGTTTGTCTGAATGCTCTGATTTGTGGTAGCTTCGGTCAAGGTTGACTAACACAATAAAGAAAAAGGGTACTATGCTACTATTACACCCCCAGAACTATTCTACACCCCCAAAAACTCAAAATTTTAATTTTCGATGAAACTTCGCCTATAGGGGTAATCCGATGCCCTGATAACGAATATGACCTTCATTTTTGGCGTTGGCGCCATTTGACTCCAATTGGCGCCAATTTTGCGCCAAATTGGCGCCAATTGGAGCCAAATGGCGTAAGCGCCAAAAATGAATGTTATATTCTTTAT